CAAGCTTCAGACACCTGCAATTTACATGAATTCTTATAGCTAGCTGCATTCATGGACACAGGAACCTACTGACCCAGCACCATAAAGAAGAAAAAAATAGACTTCTAGTTTAGGGGAGGAAGGAAGTGTAACATGGGGCCTTACTGGATAATTGGATATACTGCCTATATAAAAACATAAATTATGTGAACAAAGAATTGTCTGCTCTCAGAAATAATGAGAGTCATTATAGCTATCTATCTGCTATAACAGAATGCTATAGACTGGTGACTTAAATGACAGAAATTTACTTCTGACCATTTAGGAGGCTGGAAATTTCAAGATCAAGCAGCCAACTGATCTGGTGTTTGGTGAGGGCTGTTTCCTGGTTTGTAGATGGCAATCTTCTTACCATGTCCTCACATGGTAGAAAACAGGAAGATGAAGTCACCTCTCTAATGAGGTCTCTTCTTATAAATCCTTCTTATAAGGGCACTAATCCAATTCCTTAGGAATCCACTCTTGTTTTATTCAGCTTTCTCACTGCTGTGACCAAAAGACCTGACAGGAACAATTAGAAGAGGGAAAGTTTATTTGGAGACTCATGGTTTTGAGTTCTCAGTCCATAGATGGCCAACTCCATTCCTCAGGACCTGAGATACGGCAGAACATCATGGCAGAAGTGTGTGGGGGGGGGGAAGCAGCTGGGCGCATGGCACCAGGAAGCAGAGGAAGAGAGAACCCTGCTCACCAGGTACAAAATATAACCCAGAGGTACACTCCCAATCACCTACTTCCTCCAGCTACACCCCACCTGCCTTCAGTTACTACTAGTAGGGGATTAATTCATGGATTGGGTTAAGGCTCTCATAACCCAATCATTTTACTTCTAAACCTTCTTGAGCTTTTGGCAGGACATCTCAGATCAAAACCGTAACAACCTTCATAATGTAATCACCTCCTGAAGGTTGCTTCCTGATGCTATTACACTGGGAATTATGATTTCAATATAAATTTTTGAGGGGTATGTGAACATTCAATTCATGAGACTAGATAATATATTTATTGGTGTCCATTGTGTGTCTATTCACCATTTCAGTTTATGCTTAAAAGAGTGCTATCGTGGAGGCAATGTGACTGTCATCTTTTGAGGAAGACACTGAGGCTCAGAGGCATTGAGTGATATGTCCGAGGGCACTCAATGGAGGCACAGCTGAACTAGACTGACCTAGCTGACCTCGTGTTACAAGGACTCCCCAAAGGCATTGGTGGTGTACCTAGAACCAGGTCACTTAGCAACCATCAAACATTCAGAGTGTGTTGTTTATCTAGAGCCACAGCTAAAATTTGCTTATATCCTGTAAATGCTGATTTCTATGGCAACTTGTGGCCAACTCAACCAAAACCATTCTTGGTGTTTTGGAACAAGCTTCCGGCCATTACTTACGTAACTGATCACTTAAAAGTGGAGAGTAGTAAAATGTATTTACATTTGAAGTATTATTCACAGAGTTCTTGGGAATATTAGAACATTCTTAAGGTTTCTCAGAGATAATTTATAAATGTCTTAAATGTTATTCTGCCAACTGTCTGTCCACATTTATATCTTTTTATTAGAGAGGAGGGGCCAAAATTCCTGCAAAATTGTAAAACCTCATTATTTATGGAATAAAAATGAAAACCTGCCAGAATTTTCTGGCTATAAAAAAATTTTGTTTTGGCTTGATTTACTTTTTTTCTGGTCTTTCAAAGCCTTGTCATTTTTCTTACAAAGTAAGAATTACATGATAGCAAAATGTTCTTTCTTTGCAATTTTGTAAAAATGACTGGGAATAAATTAGGGTAGGGGATGACCACTTTCCAAATGTGGATTCCAAGGCTATGAGTTTTGTTTTGTTGAGTTTTGAGGTTAGAGTAGGTGGGATGAGTGGTTTTCTCAAAGTTGCACAGGAAAACTGAGACTACCAATTTCCAAGGTGGCTTCCTTTGGGGGTAGCGGGAAGGAAAGTGAGAAGGACACATATGGAAAGGTCATACTAGGTGACAGTCACCCTGCAGAACACTCTAGCATGCCTGCCTAAGACATAACCCCCTCCTGAAACATTCCTGCAGTGTTATGGTTTGAATTGTGCCCCCAGAGAAAGATATGTTGAGGTCCTAAACTTTAGTATCTGTAAATGTAACCCTATTTGGAAGTAGAGTTTTTGCAGATATAATCAAATCAAGATCATTAGAGTGGGCCCTAATCCAATATGACTGGTGTCATTATAAGAAGAGGAAAGTTTAGACAAACACACACACACACACACACACACACACACACACACACAGTAATGGCCATGTGAAGATGCA